TAGATTTTCCAGCTTGCCAAATTCTTCCGGCAGTTCCTCAATGTTAGAGCCTTCAAGGTTTAAGCTACAGAGTGTGTCCATATCTCCAATTGACTTGGGAAGAAACTTCAGAAATTCACAGTTCATCAACTCAAGTTTGCGTATAAAATGCAAGGCACCAATCTCTTTTGGTAGAGCTTCAATTAGGGTGGTATTCAACTGAAGTTGGAGAAGAGAATTTAATCCACCAATTGAACTCGGCACTTGTTTCAGAAATTTGCAACCTCCTGCTGAGAAGTCAGTCAAACTTGGCAGCGAGCTCGGTTTTAGAGGTAACTCCTCCACCGCGCTTCCGGTGATGAATAGTTTCTTCAACGATATGAGCTCATTGATACTGTCAGGAATCTTAGAAAGGGATGTGCAGCGTACCAAATGCAGGTCCTGGAGTTTTTTTAGATCTCCAATAGAACTCGGAAGATTTTTCAATGCTGTATCATTAAGATATAGCTTCTCCAGTGATTTCAATGTTCCTATGCACAAAGGTAGCTCTGGAATATATCTGCAACCACTTAGACTAAGGATTTCAAGATTTTGGAGGCGATTTATGGATTCTGGTAAGTACTTTATCGCAGTTCCATCAAGAAGAAGCTCTTTCAAGCTTGTCATGGCACCAATGTTTTCTGGTAACACACTCAGATCTGAACAGCCAGAGAGGAAAAGTTTTTCAAGACGCTTAAGTCCAGAAACATCCGCAAGAAATTCAGAAAGCTTTGAACACCTGCTGAAGTCCAGATGAAGCAATTTTCTCAGATTACCAACTGATTTAGGAACTTTCACCAGAAGCGTGCATTGCTCGAAAACAAGCATCTCTAGGGCTTCATGGTTTGATAAATCAGGAATGGCTTCTAAGCTGTGGCAACCGCGCAAAATTAAAACCTTCAAATTCTCATCCACCTGAAAGAAACGGAGAAATATTTTAACAGTGAGACTTTAACTTAAAACTATATGCTTCCGCATGCTATAGGAAATAAGAAAGCTTACCCTATTGCTGCGCAAAGTCTGGACTCGTCTTATTCCACTCTCTGAAAGATCAAGAACAGAAAGTTGCCTAGCAAGAAAATCCGGAGGGAGATTTTCTAAGGGGCAACCTTTCCACTGTATCCACTTGAGTTCAGATGGGAGAAGTTTAAGATTTCCTTCCAGTTCCACGTTATTAATCTGAAGAAGTCTCAACTCCGTCATTGGTACAAAAGACTCTACGGGAATGGTGATTTCAGAACTTTTTGTCTTTTCCTCTGCTGGAAATCTTACAAATTTACTCTTCAGGTAACTGAATACAGAGTTGATGCCCAGATTGTTTGTCAGATTCATCGACGCAATTTCATCTGCAGTAGGGTCCCTCACAAACTTCTTTTTAAAGTCAAGTACGATTCCTCGAATGGATGATGTTCCCTGTCATTCCATTACAGGGGAAAAAAAAACAGAGCATGAGTATGTAAGTCAAAGCAAATGATATATAACTGTAGATAAAATACCTTCACATTGTTCAATACGGTCATAATTTCACCACGATCCCAGAGTCTACTTCGCATTCCAGGATTCTCACCGCTTTCTTTAAGGACCATCTGCCTACCCATGTCTCTAATCTGATCATGCATCCAAAGAGTATCGTCTGCCAAGATCTTAACAAGAGATTTCTGTCTGAGGACACTGAGAGCAGCCTCAGCGTTTAACCCACATCCTTTCAGTATTATGACAACTTCTACTTTTTTAATCTCCATTTTAAGAAAGAGACATGCAATGTCGAGGAATACTTTCTTTTCTTCATCGTCTAAAGATTCGAAACTCAGTGCCAGAACATCCTGAAGATTGTGTGGTTGGGTCTTTTTCAGCTTACCCAGTTGCGTTTGCCAATCCTTTTCCTCCTTCTTGTCATACAAAAGAGATCCAAACACTTCAACCGCCAGCGGCAATAGTCCCGATATCCGGACAATCTCCGTAGATAACTTCAACAGATTCTTTGGTGGTTTTTCTTTTCGCAGTGAATGATAACTAAAGAGCTTCAACGACTGCGGCTCAGTCAAGCACTTGACCTCATACTGTTGGTTCACTGAGAGCTTACTCAGAATCTCAGAATCTCTGGTAGTGATGACTATAAGAGTTCCTTGACCATACCATCTTGTTTCACCAACCAACGCATTAACCTGGTCTATGTGATCAACATCATCTAAAACGACAATAATTTTCTTCTCATGAACATTTTCCTTTATCTTTTCCAGGCCTCTGCTAACATCCTCTATTTCAGGTACCAAACGAAAAAGTTCCTTGATGAGAGTTTTTTGAAGAGTAACTAACCCATTTTCGGCTGATGATCTTTCTCTAATATCTGAGATGAAAGCTCGTTGCTTGAAGTTTCCAACAACCTTGTTATAAAAGGCTTTTGAAAGGGTAGTCTTCCCAATACCACCCATACCATAAAGTCCCAAGACTTTGACGCCAGAACTGGATTCAATGTCGAACAGTTTCATCAAATCCTTCATAGGTGATTCCAGACCAACAATGTATTCTCCCACTTTCTCTGGTGTATTGCTCAATTCATCTAAAACTCTTTTCACCACAAGCTCTATCATCTCATCCTCATTCGAGCCCTCGCTGCAAAATTCCAAGGAAAAAAACAAAGTCACATCCTAAATTCAATTCATCTTCTAATGTCCAGATGATTCTAAAATGCAGAGATTGTAAATAAGACTAATAGAACAAGAAATGAGATATGGAGTCGTACACGCAAACATATCCAGCAAGATTTCCAACTAATTTCATAGCGTCTCTCCATTCTTGTACCTTCTCCTTGTCAAATCTTTCTTCGTGTCTTTTAAAATCAGCCTCAATATGATCGCTCTGTTTGCGAACATGCGAGGGATCGACCTTATAAAAAATGGGCAACATCCGACGATCTAGAGATGATTTCAGCTTGCAGAGCATAGCTAATTCATTAAGGCACCAGCGAGAGTTAGCATAGTTACGAGATAAGACGATGACGGAAGCCGCAGAGTCCTCCATGCCTGCCTGAAGACTTGAACCGATCTCATCTCCACGTTCCATACCATCATTGTCGAGGAAGACCCGAACTTTTTCCTTGAGCGCTTTATAGAGAGGCCCTGCGAATATCTCTCGCGTGTCTTCGCCTCGGAAACTGAGGAAGACGTCATACTTGAGCCTATGCGGCTTCGAAACAACCTCAGATTCCATCTCCGATCCCCCTCTCCTTCTTATAGTCAACTCTGAGAAGCAATCACTTCAATGGTTGTTAATTCTTGCTCGATTTCTCAGATTTTCTTCACTCTCTCCTTCTAAGGCTCGACGGTGGTCAGAGAAGAACTCACGTAACCATGTCTGCTGAAGTCTGATCGATAGCTCAATTTCGCAATCACGATCGAAGAAGTTACCAGAAACTGGATTACAATTTTTTGACTACACACGATGAAGACGAAGCTTGCGATTTTGGGAAACCCCTAATTGGGAAATTTCTAGTTTGGCTTTTCATCAGATATTTTTTAGTTCAAAAGCCATTTTCTGTTTCCTTCTTCTCTCATGTAAAACAAAAGTCTCGCATTGACCTTTTTTTTAATGCTGTGACCAACACAACGTGGCTAGTCACTAATTCTGAAACGTCACACAGTTTGTATGTCCTTATTCGATCACAACGACACGCAGTGTCAAAATTCCTTTGTTCATTTTCTTCTTGTAAAAAACTAAAAACTATTGACTTAAGATTATCATAGAATAACCTAATTAAAATTTAAGATAACAAGTGAGTATATGTCAAAAAGATTATATAAAATGTAGAGGTTGCGTGAGGAATAAGATTAAGAGATGAAGATATTGGAGTGTCGTACCTATAAACAAATCCAGGGATATTTCCGACTATATTCATAGCTCTCCTCCATCGCTGTATCTTCTCCTCGCTAAATCTTTTCGAATGTTCTTCAAAATCCATCTCGTATGGACCGTTCTGTTTACGAAAAATACATGGTTCAACCTCGTAAAAGATCGGTAACACTAGACGACCAAGCGACGATTTCAGATCACAGAGCATGGCTAATTCTTCAAGGCACCAGTGAGATTTAGCATAGTTAGGAGATAAGACGACGACTAAGGCGGCTGAGTCCTCCATAGCTTCCAGGAGACTTGCACCGAGCTCATCATTCCCACGTTCCACATCATCGTTCCAAACCCGGACCTGTTCCTTGACGAGCACTTCATAGAGACGCTCTGTGAATTTGTGGCGAGTCTCTCTTTGGAAGCTGAGGAATGCATCCCACTTGAGCCTCGAACGCCGATCAGAAACATCACCGGTCTTCAACATCTCCGATTCTTTCCTCTTCGAAATCAAGTTTTGAAAGATGGAAAGGGTGCAGAGAAAAATTCTTTACGTGATTCCGAAGGGAGAGATTATACTATAGCAAAAACAATGGGCATGGCTCTTATACAAACCGTAAACGTTTTGAAAGACAGATTCTTTTCGTGACAATGGAGAGAATTAGTAAGCTTCTTCTTCTCTTTTGTCGGCTAAAGCTTAATTAGCTTTTAGTTACTACATAGTTAGTGCTAAAGCACACAAAACAGTTCTTAATTAATATATTACTTTTTCTATAGATGTATTGACTTTTGAAACATGGAAATTCCTAAGTTTGCTTTTCCATGATGGAATCCGTCATATTCAAAACGACGGACATTGTTTACATAAAATCAAAACGGCACACATTGTTATTTGAGTAGTTGTATCATGCATATAAGAGTAAGACTCTAGCTTGGCCTCGTTCCATAGCTTTTCTTCCTCCTATGAGAGTTCTGATTATCCATATATACTCCAGTTAGCTGCATACCAACAATTACATAAATATCCTCCCAACACACGACATATATGCAACTACGGTCGTGACTCTTTTCCAAGCAGAAAACGTCGTGGAGTTCCATTGTTAACATAAAATCAGAGCGGCACACATTCTCACCAAAAGAAATAACACAAAAGCCACATCACCAAATCTTATTATATGAGCAGAAACAAACAAATTGATGTCAAAAAAAAACGGGAAAAAAAGAGAACAACAAACAGTTTGTATTGATAAGATTGTGTAGTTTCTTAACTTCTCTATGGTAGAACATCATGCAACAGTAGAGTCACTTTCTGAGCTGGTTTCACCTTCTTCGGAAAAGCGGAAAAAATTGGCAAGTTTCTGAGAGACCGTTCGTTGTGCCTCGGTTAACAAATGTTCTTCGCCTTGAAAATCATCATCCCCTTCGTAAACCAGATGAATCCCATGCATCCTTAGCTTAACGCCTTTTTTGATCGGCGGTTCTCGTTTGATCACCTGGATGGTGTACCCGTCTTTCATTGTCATAACCATTGGGTGCAAATCTGAGTAACGGCAGATATGGAGTTGATCATAACTTGTTCTAGGCACTCCAGAGAGGTGCAATGTGTGGGTGTATAAGGCTAGGCCAAGTTTAAGAATTTGGGCTTGAACTTCCAACACATCAGGCAGTTGGTAGTCATCTCCCGTGTCTTGGTTAAGAGCCACAACAACAGCAAGGACTACGCCTCTGAGCTCTCTATTCGGTTGAGCTGAGAACGTAAGAGGGCCTCGTGAGAACCAGTCTGGGATTCTGTTTCCAGGCAAGCTCAGATTCCACAGCAATTTCAAAGAAGCCTGCAATGAGAGAAGCAAATTTTTAACAGACCTTGGGCTTTAACTAATTGAGATTCTATAGAGTTTGCGGAATTACCTTGGAAAGTCTTCTCTTTACTGCAAGGGAGCAGGTGGAGTTACAGCCACTCATGTATAATCGTTTCAGAGCCGTCAAGTGCTCTAGGCCTAGAATATCAACCACTTTCTCACAGTTTGTGAGATTGAGCTCATCCAAGAACTTCAGGTTGGAAAGGTCGGATATACTCTCCAATGAAAAGCAGTTTGCAAGGATTAGCTGCTCCAGTCTCCACGGAAGAGGGGGGAGACACTTGAGCTCTCGGCAGTCATACAATGAAAGTTTTTTGAGATTTGATAACCCTTTGAGGCTAGACGGAAGGCTGTGAAAATAATTATTCCCCAGATTCAGTATCTTCATAGACGTCAACTTCTCAAGATCATCTGGGATTTTACCCGATATTGCCCAACTGCGAGCATCCAGTTCCTCAAGCGACGAGAGGTTCGAGAAAGAGTTTGGTAGTTCTACAAAATGAGGTTCTTCACTTTCAGAACTTCTAAAAAAAGGCTTCTTCAGCATTTTCAATACCCTTAGATTTGAAAGGTTTCCAAAACTTTCTGGTAACTTTGTCACCGAAGTTTCCTGCATGAACAGACGGTGAAGAGATTTCAAGTCTCCAAATGATTCAGGAAGCCCCCTAAGCTTTTTACAGTTGTTCATTCGGAGTAAGACTAGCTTTTCCAGCTTGCCAAAATCTTCCGGCAAATTCTCAATGTTAGAGCCTTCAAGGTATAAGCTGTGGAGTTGATCCATATCTTTGATTGATTCAGGTAGACCCTTCAGAGATTTGCAATTCCTCAACTCAAGTTTGTGAAGAAAATGCAAGTCACCAATCTCCTCTGGTAGAGTTTCAATTGGGGTCCTATCCAACTGAAGTTGAAGAAGATAATTTAATCCACCAATTGAACTCGGAACATGTTTCAGAAATTTGCAACCTCCTGCTGATAAGTCAGACAAATCTGGCAGTGAGCCAGGGTTTAGAGGTAGCTCCTCCACTGCGCTTCCATTGAGAAATAATTCCTTCAATGATTTGAGCTCATTGATAGTGTCAGGTATCTTAGAAAGGGATGCACAGTGCATGAAATGCAGCTTCTGGAGATTTTTTAGATTTCCAATAGAATCTGGAAGATTTTGCAAAGCGGTATCATCAAGATATAGCTCTTCCAGTGATGTCAATTTTCCTACGCACGTAGGTAGCTCTTGAATAGACCTGCAACCCATTAGACTAAGCTTTTCAAGCTTTTGGAGGCAAAAAATAGAGTCCGGTAAGTTACTTATCGCAGTTCCATCAAGAAGAAGCTCTTTCAAACATGGCATGGAACCAATGTTTTCTGGTAACACGCTTAGATTTGAACAGCCAGAGAGGAAAAGTTTTTCAAGACACTTCAGTTCAGAAACATCCTCAAGAAATTCAGAAAGCTTTGAGCACCTTCTGAGGTCCAGCTGAAGCAATTTTCTCAGATTACCAACTGATCTAGGAACCTTCACCAGAAGGTTGCATCGCTCAAAAACAAGCTTCTCTAGGGCTTTATGGTTTGACAAATCCGGAATGGCTTCTAAGCTGTGGCAACCACGCAAATTTATAACCTTCAAGTTCTCATCAACCTGAAAAGCAGAAATCACTATTTTTAGCAATAAGACTCTAACTGAAACTATATATACTTGCCCATTAGTGGAAATAAGAGAGCCTACCCCTTTGCTACGCAAACTTTGGACTCGTCTTATTCGACTCTCTGAAAGATCAAGAACAGCAAGTTGCCCAGCAAGAAAATCTGGAGGGAGATTTTCTAATGGGCAACCTTTCCACTGTATCCACTTGAGTTCAGGTGGGAGAAGTTTTAGATTCCCTTCCAGGTTCACATGATTAATCTGAAGAAGTCTCAACTTAATCATTGGTACGAAAGGCTCTACCCGAATTGTAATTTCAGAACTTTTTGGCTTTTCCTCTTCTCGAAATGGTATAAATTTATTCTTCAGGTAACTATACACAGATTTGATGCCCGGACTTTTCTGTAGATTCCTCAACGCAATATCTTCTGCACTCGGGTCCCAAGCAGGCTTCTTTTTGAAGTCAAATACGATTCCTTGGATGGATGATGTTCCCTGTTATCCCGTTACAGAAAAAGATCATGAGAGTGTAAGTCATATACAAATGATATATAATAGTAGACATAAATACCTTCATATTGTTCAACACAGTCATAATTTCAGCACGATCCCAGAGTCTACTTCGTATGCTAGGATCCCCATGAATTTCAGTAAGGTCCATCTTCCTACCCATGTCTCTAATCTGATCATGCATCCAAAGAGTATCATTTGCGAAGATCTTAACAAGAGATTTCTGCCTGAGGACACTTAGAGCAGCCTCAGCGTTAAATCCACATCCTTTCAAAACCTCAACAACTTCTTCTTTTGTTATTTGCATTCTGAGAAAGAGACAGGCAATGTCGAGGAATACTTTCTTTTCTTCATCGTCTAAAGATTCGAAACTCAGTGCCAGAACATCCTGAAGATTGCCTGGTTGGGTCTTTTTCAGCTTATCCAGTTGAGTTTGCCATTCCTTTTCCTCCTTCTTGTCATACAAAAGGGATCCAAACACTTCAACTGCCAGCGGCAATAGTCCCGAAATCCGGACAATCTTCGTGGATAACTCCATCAAATTATCTGTTGGTTTTTCTTTTCGTAGTGAATGATAACTAAACAGTTGCAACGCCTGCGACTCAGTCAAGCACTTGACCTCATACTGTTGGTTCACTGAGAGCTTACTCAGAATCTCAGAATCTCTAGTAGTGATGACTATAAGAGTTCCTTGACCATACCATCTTGTTTCGCCAACCAAGGCATTAACCTGGTCTATGTGATCAACATCATCTAAAACCACAATAATCTTCTTATCATGAACATTTTCCTTTATCTTTTCCAGGCCTCTGCTAACATCCTCTATTTCAGTTACCAAACGAAAAAGTTCCTTGATGAGAGATTTTTGAAGATTGACTAACCCATCTTCGGCTGATGATCTTTCTCTAATGTCTGAGATGAAAGCTCGTTGCTTGAAGTTTCCGACAATCTTGTTATAAAAGGCTTTTGCAAGGGTAGTCTTGCCAATACCACCCATACCATAAAGTCCCAAGACTTGTACGCCAGAACTGGATTCAGCGACGATCAGGTCCATCAAATCCTTCATAGGTGATTCTAGGCCCACAATGTATTCTCCCACTTTCTCTGGTGTATTGCTCAATTCAGCTAAAACCCTTTTCACCACAAGCTCTATTATATCATCCTCCTTCGAGTCCTTGCTGCCAAATACCCAAAAAAAAAAAAAAAAAAGTCACATATCCTAAATTCAATTCATCTTCTAAGTCTACATGATTGTTCTAAATGCAGAGATTGTAAATATAACTAGAAATGAGATATGGAGTCCTACTGGCAAACATATCCAGCAAGATTTCCAACTAATTTCATAGCGTCTTTCCATCGTTTTATCTCCGCCTCGCTAAATGTTTTGGCGAGTTTTTGAAAATCCTTGTCGAAATCGCCGCTCTGTTTGCGGACATGCGAGGGATCGACCATATAAAAAACAGGTAACATGCGACGATCCAGAGATGATGATTTAAGATCGCAGAGCATAGCTAATTCATCTAAGCACCAGTGAGAGTTAGCATAGTTAGGCGATAAGACGATGACCGAAGCAGCAGAGTCCTCCATGCTTGCCTGAAGACTTGAACCGATCTCATCCCCGCGTTTCATACCTTCGTTGTCGCGGAAGACCCGAACCTTTTTCATTAGCGCTTCATAGAGACGCCCTCCGAAGTTATCGCGCGTGTCTGCGCCTCGGAAACTGAGGAAGACGTCATACTTGAGCCTATGCGGCTTCGAAACAACCTCAGATTCCATCTCCGATCTCCCCCTCCTTCTTAGTCAACTCTGAGAAGCAATCGATAGCTCAATTTCGCAATCACGATCGAAGACGTTACCAGATACTGGATTACAATTTTTTGACTAGACACGATGAAGACAAAGCTTGCGATTTTGGGAAACCCCTAATTCAGATATTTCTAGTTTTGGCTTTTTATCAGATATATTTTAGTTTAAAAGCCAATTTCTGGTGCACAAAAAAAGAAAAAAAGAAAGAAAGAAAAGCCATCCCTTTTCTGTTTCCTTCCTCTCTCATGTAAAACAAAAGTCTCGCATTAACCTTTTTAGTGCTGTGACCAACACAACGTTAGTCACTAATTCTCAAACGTCACACAGTTTGTATGTCCTTATTTGATCAGAACGACACGCAGTGTCAAAATTCCTTGGTTCATTTTCTTCTGTAAATACTACTATTTGACTATTGAGTAACCTGATACGCTAGGTCAACAATCTTCTATAGTGTTAGAAGACCATGTCTTACTAAGGATTATCAAAGAATAACTGCATGAGTATGTAAGTCAATACAAATGATATATAACTGTATGAAATGGTTGATTTTTTTTTTTCTGATCTTTTAAGATCCATTTATGTATATAAAAAGACATCAGATATTACATTTGATACAAAAATGGAAAAATATGAATGTATAAAAACTTTTCATAAAGTTATTTGTATGAATTTCGTTGTTATATCAAAATATGGATTTATATTTATTGTAATTTATTTTATTTAAAATCATAATTTTTACAACCACAGTTTCTACAGTTTTGTTGTTACCAATCACGTTTTAACAGTTAAAGTCTCTAAAGTTAAAGTCTCTACAGTCAAAATTTCTACAGGCATACAGCGAAAGTCTCTACAGCCAAAAGTAACAGTCATTCCCAATCGGCCCCGTAAACATGTAGAGAGTTTTTAATTATCATGGGGATAAGAAAAAAAAGCTTTTAATTGTTTATTTATTTGATAAATGTCACCGGGAAACCAAAGCCACGTTTTTTAGACTTTAGAAAAAAAAAGGGAAACAAAGAAGGAAAAAAAAAAAAAGAAGGCTTTGAGAACTTTAAAAATAATTGAAGTCAAAAAAGCCTAATTGGCAAAAAAAAAAAAAACAGTGAAGACTTTAGAATAGTCCTAAAGTCTTTAAAGTCTTGTGCCAATCACCTCCTTAATTAAATATGTAAATCAAATTTGTTTGACATAAATTTGCTAAAAATCTGGACACAATCTTTCCTAATATCTCGACAATGCTCCTTTCTAAATATATTCTAAATAATTAATTTCAAATAAACTATTTTGAAATTGTGGTTTAAAAATATTGTAACAAATCGGTTTTGTTTCCATATTCTATATTCTAGATTCTATATAGAAATATATTAAATTAAAAAAGTTAGCCTCATTAATGGTACAAATCTATACTATATAAAAGTCGAGGCCATAAGCTCTTTAGACCGTCCACCTAGGATTTTAAACCACCAATCGCAGTTAGACACTTCAGTTAACATTTTTACACATCACGTTAATTAACATTTTTAAATTCTAATATTTTTTATACTTAAATATTAATAAAAAGTAAAAAAAAAACAATATATGGAAAGAAGAAAAATGTGAATATTTGAAAAAACAAAATATAGAAATAATAAAAATGTAAAGTATATATTTCAATATTATTATGCAGCGAATATATTTTTATTTGGAAATTTCCTAATTTGGAAATTTTCTAATTAAAAAATGTAAAAATACAGAAGGTAATTATGACGGTTTATCCTAGACATTAAACTATAAATATTGAACCTCGACAACACAATTAGTATTCAGTTTCAAAAAAATTTACTATTATGCGGCTTTGATTTTTTTTTTCTCGTGCTACATACTTTTTGATTTATTTCTTTATGAACTATAAACAAATATTGTTTAGTTTTGCTGATTTTAGACGGTTTGATTGTATTTCAGGTTACACTAATGAATCGAGTCTAGGTTCATTCAATTGTGGCTTTTAAAGCAATTACAAGGTATTATTGATCCTAAAATTTATGTAGCTTTCAAATTATTTCTTTGTGTAGATATTGTTAATTTCTTTATGTTAAATATATGTATGAAAAGTGGTCACATGTAGAAAGCCAAAAAATCAAAGAAATCAAATAAAAAAAAAAGTGGAAAAAATTATATATTGAAGAAGAAGAATATGAGAAAAGGTAATTCTTAAAAAAAAAGAAGTAATTATATATAGGGTTCTATATATTATAATCGTTTGATTATTTGAGTTCGCTGTTTTTGAATTATCTTTTTAACCATGCAAGACTTCTTCAGAAACTAAAGTTTGGCATGTTTGTTTGCCAAATCTAACCGATTACGATGACAGTTATATTAAAGATAGAAGGTGACTATTTTTTTTTCTTTTTTTTTGTAATTGTCCTATTATTTTCGAGTATCTTTTTATCATCAATAAAATGACAAGTATGAAGGAGTAGATTTAAATATTATGAAGATTATATTGCTATTCAATTTAAGATTTATCAAATATTATGAAGATTTATAGCCATCTCGGTAAATTGTTTTCTTGTGTGGATATTGTTAATTTCTATATGTAAAATATATGCATGAAAAGTGGTTCGCATGTAGAATGCATAGAAATCAAAAAAATAAAGTGAAAATAATTATATATTGAAGAAGAAGAAGAACAAGAGAAGTAGAAGAGTAATTCTTTTTTTTTTTAAAGTAATTATATATAGGGTTATGTATATTATAATCGTTTGATTAATTTGAGTTCTCTGTTTTTGAATTTTTTTTTAACCATGCAAGGTTTCTTCAGAAACCAAAGTTTGGCTTGTTTGTTTGCTAAATCTAACTGATTACAATGACAGTTATATTAAAGATAGGAGGTGAATTTTTTTTTTTTTTGTAATTGTCCATATTATTTTCGCGTATTTTTTTATCATCAATAAGAGGACAAGTATGAAGGATTTGATTTAAATATTGTGAAGATTATATTGTTATTCAATTTAAGATTTATCAAAACTCTATCAAAGTTTGATGTTATTTGTTTATGTATTTGTAAATAGTAATCTAAAAGCTTCATAAATTTGGAGTTATTGGAGACCATGATTTTATAAATTGGAAGCTCTAAAAGATATAAAAAATTCAAAACTTAAGTCGAAACCACTAGCTTTTATACTACATAAAAGTTGAAGTAATAAACTTCTAAAACTGTCCACACAAAAAAAAAAAAAAAAAAAAAAACTGTCCACAAAATTTCAAAAGACTAATCACGATTAGCCATCTTGGTAATTAGCAATTTTAGATTCCAATAATTTTCTATATTAAGATACTTATAAAAAGAAAAAAACAATATATATATATATATATATATATATGAAACAAAAAAAATGTAAATTTAAAAAAAAACATTTGGGTAGACAAAAAAATGTAAACTTTTGTTATTGGAATATATAATATCAATAGAAAATTAAGATACTTACAAAAAAGTTATAAGAAAAAAAACAATCTATGGAAACGAGAAAAATATAAACTTAAAAAATATATATGCAAAAAAGAAAAATGTAAAATTTTGTTATTAGAATATATATAATAATATCATTATTAGTCTCACCAAATTTGCCAATATCCTTTCTTAAGCACAATTAGGGGTCGACATTTTAGTTTGATGTCGAGTTAAATTTGATTCGGTTATTTCGATTTTAATAAAACATCAAGTCTCTAATCAAACTCATTTTGGTTCGTTTCAATTCGGTTTGGATTAATTTTGTTTGGCTTGATTCGGTCTGTTATTTAAAATAAATTATTTATAAAATTGAAAGAATGGCAAGAAATGGAAGCAAGAAAAATAAAAATTATATAATTGGGATAAATAACTAAAAAAATTGAATAGAATAATCAATCAAGAGGTATGTGAAAAAAAAAAGGTATACAATATATACATGTAACATGTGTAAGTTTATTCATTTGTTTCTTTTCATTTAAATGTTGATTGATAATTTTTCATGTTTCAAGTTTGATGTTCGGATATTAGATCATTTTAATCATTAAATTTTTTAAGTCTTTTTTATATACTTGAGTAAAATATGACACATCATATTTGTAATATTTTTTATACCAACTTTGATCCTATAAGCTTTACTTTTATCAAAAAAAAAAATTAAACCAACATAAATGATACTAAAAATATAAATAAAACAACATATATGCTATAAAGAATTCAAAAAATGAAACATTATTGTAATTAATTGATTACTAAGCCCAAAAATATAATAAAACAATCAATAAAAGTCGAGCCCATAAGGTCCTGAGGCCGTCTACCTAGGATTTTAAACGACCAGTCGCAGTTAGACACTTCAGCAGTTAACATTTTTACACATCACGTTAATTAACATTTTTTATTTTTTTATATTTTTTATACTTCAATATTATTAAAAAGGAAAAGAAACAAAATATATGGAAAGAAGAAAAATGTGAATTTTTGAAATAACAAAATACAGAAATAATAAAACTGTAAATTATATATTTCAATATTATTATGCAATGAATATATTTTTGTTATCCATAAGGTAATTAAATTGATAACGTAGGTAATTAAAAGGCTATCCAAATCTAATTAAAAATGTAAAAATACAGAAGGTAGATATGCCAGTTTACCCTAGACATTAAACTATAAATATTGAACCTCGACAACACAATTAGTATTCAGTTTCAAAAAAATTTAGTATTATGCGACTTTGATTTTTTTTTCTCGCGCTACATACTTTTTGATTTATTTCTTTATGAACTATAAACAAATATTGTTTAGTTTTGCTGATTTTAGACTGTTTGATTTGTATTTCATGTTACACTAATGAATCGAGTCTAGGTTCATTCAATTGTGACTTTTAAACCAATTACAAGGTATTAAGATCCTGAAATTTATGTACCTTTCAAATTGTTTTCTTGTGTGGATATTGTTAATTTCTTTATGTTAAATATATGCATGAAAAGTGGTTCACATGTAGAAAGCAAAAAATCAAAGAAATCAAATTAAAAATTTGAAAAGAATTATATATTGAAGAAGAAGAATATGAGAAAAGGTAATTCTTAAAAAAAAAAGAAAAAAAGTTATTATATATAGGGTTCTATATATTATAATCGTTTGATTAATTTGAGTTCGATGTTTTTGAATTATCTTTTTAACCATGTAAGGCTTCTTCAGAAACCAAAGTTTAACATGTTTGTTTGCCAAATCTAAACGATTAGGATGACAATTATAATAACGATAGCAGGTGACTTTTTTTTTTTTTTGTAATATATGCATGAAAAGTGGTTCGGGACATATAAACATGTTTGTTTACCTTTTCTCGCCAAGAGGTGTTTCTGGGTCGACGAACTCTTCTTCTTCTTCTTTGTCGATTTTCTTCTCTGCGATTGTTTTTGGTTTTGATGACTTGAAGACATCTCCGAGCTTTGCTTTCTCCAAAGCTCGTTGCTTTTTCATCTCCTTTTCTTTAGCCTTCTCTTCGTTTCTCAATTTCCGCTCCATCTCCATAGCAATCTTCTTCTCCTCTGCTTCAGACATTGAGGGTTTTGTGATTTGTGAAGAAGGAACAACAGAGAGTATTTAAAACGCTAAGGTTTATTAGGTTAGTGAACTAAATATATACTTCTGGAATTTGGCGTTACAAAATGAAAAAAAATGTAAAGACAGAGAAATATGGAAAATGTGACAGACATACGTAATTAAAAAAATATGGAAAACTAAGTTTGTTTAAGTAGAATAAGTTCTAAAACTTTTTGGGTTCTGTTTTAGAATAGTGAAGGGAATACCACTGATACGGATCCCTTTCTTAATCCTGTTTTAGTTTTTACAGTTAAGCCTTTGTGAACTGTGGCTTTGTTAACTTTTGTAATGGCTCTGATTTGGCTTAATAAAAAGTAACACAGTTGTGACAAAAAAAAAAAATATATGGAAAACGATTTTACTCTATAGTTTATTAAAAACATGTAATTATACACACACTTCATGTCATTATTTTGAGTTAGAAATAACAAGATTCTAGTTTCTTAGCTCTCTCTCCTGCACTACTCTCAGCCTCTGCATTGCCTTCCATGGAGTAACTCTTCTCCTGCAACCAGAAACGACATCGTTTTCTCATTGCAAAAAATATATATAACAAAGTGAGATCCTGCTTTAGTTTTGAATGTATATTATATATTACCAGCAAACGCCACATGAAAGGAACACCATCTCTGATCTTTATCCTCTCTCTGATCACTTCTTTGGCTGCATACATCATAAGAGCCAAGATTGTTTATTGTTATACTAAGCAAAGATGAGTATCCAATGAGTAAGACTCTACAACAAGCCTTACCAGTGGAGGATTGGCCTGTCTTTAGCAGCAGCTGGCACCACATTTCGTTGAAAACATCTATCTGTTCATCTGATGCCCCGACGATCTATTATTTAAAAAAGAACCATCAAAAGGTGTTTGATCAAGAAACTTCATGAGTTTAGATGCTAGAGATTTATTTCACCTTGTAACCAATGGCGTTGAACTCTGAACCGAATAGTTCTAAAGCCTTTTCGTAGTTACCCCTTGCGAATTCAAACACAGCTTCCCCGAGCTGGTATGAGAACAAAACTAATATTAGAGTAGTAGTTACAATGAAAAACACTACCGGAGTACCGGATAGGGGGAAAAAATAAACCTGAATCCCTTTCTGCATCACTTGTTGTTTTTTTTTATTCATCCTTGATAATCTGCAAGAACAACACAAGTTCATGACAAATTCGGTATCATTTAGAAACTGTAGGATAAAAGAAAGTCACACTAACCGGGACTTAAGACCCTCAAGTAATTCATGAGCTCTTGAAGTCTCTCCAACCTTTGCTAATGCCCAAACTATCAATATATCAAGGTGCCACTCCAAATACCAGTTTGCCTGAAATGTTAAAGCAAGTGGCCGAGACATAAAAACCTATTGAACAGGAGAACTCATATAACTGCAACCGTTTTGGGATGGTATATCACTAGTGTATGGCTTACCTGATTAGTTAAACGAACTGCAAGGTTTTTGAGACGGTCTTCAAAACCATCAAGAGCATCTCTTACATCTAAACGTAGCAACAATCCCAGCGCATTGAGATAAACCTAAAGAGTTGCAGACAGCTAATTGTTGGATAGAGGAAGCAAAAGCATATATTTCTGAAATTGAAAAGAGGTTTTACTTCAGGAGGAACAGCGTCGTCTTTCTCCAATTCTTTCCAGATGTGATGATCATAAATCTCCTCTACTTTACTCATTGGTGACCCTCCTTCTAAGTAACAAAGAGCAACATGCCACCAGTTGTGTGTATACCTGACAATTTTATACATGTTTAATAAAAAAATCTCATGAAATTATAAAAAGAGAGCTTGATAATATGTGAGAGCCTTCTTATAATAAAAAAATTATAAGAAGAGAGCTTGATAATATGTGAGAGCCTTCAAGCAAGTGGGAAATGCTTTACATGAAGGATGAGCAAGAAGGCCAAGATCCTGCGAGCGCTTCCATGAACTCCACTGCTTCTTTAAACCGACATTCATGTTGAAGAACATGACACAACTGCAACAAATAAGTAAGTGTTCAATGGAACCTGAGACTAAAGGATGCAAATGCTCAATGTCATGTAAAATTGTTTGAGAAACTAACACAGTGATGTGCCCAGGAGTCTTCTTTGTTTATCTCATAGCCTTTTTTGGAAGCTGCCGCAGCTTCTTCCATTCGACCAAGTTCTAACAATGGGAACGCAAGTATACCATGAATATAACTTTCTTCTTGATTCGCAGGTAGAACCTACAATATTAAGCAGATACAATCAACTTTTATAGTCTTAGACAGGTGAATCATTCAGTGACCAAAAATTCGATGAGAACTTAAGTACCTGCTGAACAAGACCCAAAAAGGGCTCAGGTTGACCCATGTAGAAACATAAAAGCTGTGCTCTCTTCAAAGAGGCAAGGTCCTTTGGGAATCTATTAAGTAGCTGCAAACCACAATTTTGATTCAAACAAGAGACTCAAAACTAACATAGAAACTAACTACAACAAGTTTCAGAGCATATGCATGAGTACTTAAGACCTGAGAATCATCAGAAAGACACAGAACTTTACATTTCAAACCATAACCGTTGTATACTTGTATTGGTGCCAGATTCAAAAGATAAAACTAACAATGGAAGTAAGAACCAACCTTGGTGTGCATTTCAAAAGCCAAGTCGTCATCCCTGTCCTCGGAGATCAGGTAAGTAACAGCCTCGTAAACCGCTTGCTCATAAGGTGTAGATTGTTCCTGAAGGAAAACGAATTAAACTAAGAAATTACCCCAAACTAAAAGTAGAATACGAACTAAAAGGCAGTGGATATAACAAGACTGACGAGATTAGATGCCGCAGCTTCAACGTAGGAATTAGCTCTGGAAGGATCAGATGAAGAAAGGTAATGAGCAGCTAAAATGTTGCCCAAAACACAATCATTATCGTAGAGTGGTGCTTCTAGAATCACTTTCCTCTTCCTCCCATAACTAAGAACCTTCATAAATCGCAAAACAACATCAACAGGAATCACCGATACGAAACTACAAAGATGGAAACTTGAAGAATAATAATCCAGAAACAGAGCAAAAACTACCCACAGCCACAAGATCGTAATTCAGCTACATAGTGAATCAAAAACGTACCAAGACTCATAAAATAATCAAACCCTATTCCTGAAACCCCATCTAGATTCCATAGAAAAAGCATCAATTTTTGCATCGACAATCTTAAGCCCTGTAAGTACTCTGTTGTAACCAAATCAATTTCATGATGTGTCAGTGACAAAAGAGGGATAATTGAAGACCAACCTGTTGAAAATAAGAGTTAATTGCGTCGATGCAATCATCAGAAGAGGTATTAACCTCATAACCCCACCGAACACATCTCAGTGTTTTCTCCATTTTCAAGAAAACAGAGCTTCTTGTAGCTGAAAGTTAGCCGCTTCCTACAGGGCTACAGGAACACTTTTGGTCTTTCTTCTGGGTTCGATGATGGTTTGATCGAAGTGTGAAGGAGACAGCGATTTTGCATTTTCCTTGTCGTCGTCATCAATCACATTTTGTATTAAAAAGGTTCGTGTCTTGTTACGAGTGACGTGTCACTTTTTTTTTTTTTTTTGGCTTTTCTCGCCTTTTGGATAAACCAATTATCATTACTAGGTAAGTTTCCACGCTACGCGCGGGCTTATGTTTAGTTATGATGTTTTACAATATTATCTTTACTTTTTTCATTCATTTTAAGAACTTGTAGATTTTTGAAATTATTTTCATATGAAAGTATGAAACTATTAAATTTTATATTGTATATTTAATATATTTCGTAAAATTCACAAGTCCAAATTATAGATGAAAATAGAGAGTTCTTAAGTTTGTAAAAGTATTAAGAGAATTCAAAATAAACAAAGGTCATCAATGTGAGATATGTGCTTATCATCATTTTGTCAATATTGCCATTCGTCGAAGGATTTGTTTTTTTTTACTTGTGCACTTTAGTTTGAGGTAAATCAACATCACGAATTTTCTCTTTCACCAAAATAATTTGAACATCATCTATAACCAGAAAGAAGAATAATATTGTTCATGGGTTGTGTTTCTATTAAATCTTCTGCTAACTTTGTCTCTAAACCCAAGAACTCAGCTTCATGTATGCAAGCCAATTCATGAAACTACTACTTGCCACATAGAACTTACAATCAATCACTTTTTCAATTTAACTACAACAAATATACACACAATTTTGCATTTTGTATGGATAAGAAGTTGTAAGAACAAAAATGAATGACGTTGTGTGCTACCATTTATTCTATTCATGTTTTCTTTTTATCCTTGTGCATTTTGCTCAGTTAACTGGTAGAACAATATTAATGTTAGTAAAACAATGTAGATATAAACATTTATAATAACCTTACAAACTCCTTGATAAACTTACCTTTTAACTATTTGGTGCATATAAAGGTAGGTATGAGGTGATGGAGTATAAAAACTGTTTTAGCTTTGAGAATGATGGCTTATGAAGACTTGATATTTTAAAATGATAGAGGAGAAGTTTAAGGGTCATGATAATATGAAATCTAAGTGGTAAAAGTGTATTGATTAATGGAAGGTAAAACTGAACTTTATATTTTTAAACCCGACCCAGACGTTAAACCGGACTACCTTCTGACTCATAGAGTTATTGGGTCAACCGGATTCGACCACGGGTCAATTGATTCAAATTTATTTAATGTATTTAATATTTCTAGAGATTATATAATTTTATAAATATAAAAATAAAATTAATCATACTTTGTTTAACAAAATATAAAGTCTAAAAATAATAATAGAGTGATTAAAATTTTAAAATCCAACAAAAACCATTTGAGAAGATCCTAAGAATTAAAAAAAAAGTTCTTAAAATAATTAAATAGTAAATACACTAAAAGACTAAAACTTCATATTTTATTCCCATGCTCGGCCGGTTCAGCCAGTTCACCGGGTCGCGTGTTAATGGCGGGTTTTTATGGGTTTTTCTAGTTTTAAAGTTGGCGGATATTAATACTAAACCCAAACCGGAGAAGTGTCCGGATCGCACAATAACCGATCGGACCGGGCGGTTCGGGTCGGACGTGAAAACACCGGTTTCAACTTTTAATTCTATTTGGACATGTGTCACTCTCTTAAGTGCTGACGTGTCACTCATATGGAGAGAGTTGGCCAACTTTTATATATATGATTTATTTTTTCAGTAGATAAACAAATAAGGGAATTTTGCCAAATGTGCCACATTTTGGGAAAATCCTAGCAAATGTACTACATTTGAAATGGATTTAGCATCCATACCACATTTGGTGTTTGTGTGGCAACTCTTGGACGATTTTGCCCTTCTCTGTGCGTCAGGTATGTGTCAGGGGAAGGAGTTACAGTAGACGCCGGTTGGGAAACGGGGACAACTTTGTGTCAGAGAAGGACAACTTTGTGTCAGAGAAGAAGGACAAAACATTGCATTAAATGCAGTTTACATTTACCATGGACAATAATTATGAAATAGAGTGAATGATGTCCCCCAAGAATAAGTCCAGATCTCTTGATTGTCCATCGCCAGATTATGTGGTTTTACCAGCCAGAGATCTGGATTTACTCGGGGACAACTTCTCTTGATTGTCCATCGCCAGATGATGTGGTTTTACCAGCCAGAGATCTGAATTTACTCGGAGACAACTTGATCTTTATTTTATTCCGCCAGAGAGCCGAAGACGAAGATCAAGATTTACTCGGGGACAACTTTGTTTTACCAGCCAGAGGGACGAAAACGGTTACCAATGCGTTAGGAGAGAGACTGTGGACGGCAGAAAATTCGGAGAGTCCCATCAACCGCAGGGTCTTGTCTCAGTAAGTTGGAGGGTAGAATCGTCTTTTCACATGATGAATGTGGTATGGATGCTAAGTGGGCTCAGAAAGTGGTACTGGGCCTAAACTTTTTGAAAAAGTGGTATTAGGGCTAATTTTCCCAACAAATAATAATATTAATAACTTTTTTTTATTTTTTTTGGTCAACTAATAATATTAATATTTATCTTTATGAAATTACACATCAATCTTCTCCCTTTTAATCTATACAGGGGATTGGAAATTTGATTCTAATTCATATACTATAGAAGAAGCAAAACTTGGTAATGTCACAAACGCATAATTCACAAAGCAAAGAGCAACATGTCACCATTTGTGTGTATCAAAGAAAGGGGTAAGAGAATGAAAAGGTGACCACTAACTTTTTTTCAGATTCAAACACATAACTTCCGGTACACTCAAGAGGAAAAGATTATAATTAGATTATCTTCTTTTAATCCAATAAATCATTCTACACGAAACAATGTGTACATTATTATTCTCTAATTAAAGGGATTTTAAATCTTCTTTGAACATTCATCGAAGCAAAGCTCTTTGGCGTTCGGATAGTCTTTTACTCCCCAACAAAGATCTTTGTGAACTACAGGTTCGAAGCAGCACCAACAATCCTTTTTAAGCGTGAACGAGCAAATGGTTTTGTAACATGGTGGTACATAGATCTTTCTCGAATTCTCTTTCTCTATAGCCTCCAATCTCTCACCTACAAGTTGATTTGAAACATACAAATTAACAAAGCACTTTGACGATTAAAAAAAGAAGACATTTGACATAAACGTGTGTGTATATACTAGATTAGAAAAGCTCTATACATACACTCATGCATAGCGAAGAAGGAAAATATAACTATGCAAATTAGAGCTGTCTGAGATTTCATGGCTGCTTAGCTGTTTCAAAGGACCGGCTTGTGATTCTTGTTGTTTTATTGAGTTGTTGTAATCTTATTATTCTTATCTATATATACATTTTTGGATGACTTTTAGCAAATAAATCCTGGAGTTGGAATGTATTTACAAACAATGCCATTGGAGTTAATTCTTAAGATTTGAAAAAATTAATTAAAGATATTATTCTAAAGATCGTTCCTCAAATCTCCTCCAACTAATTACTTTAAAAATCTCGATAATAACTATTCCGTGATTTACTGTAATCTTCAAATATATTTGGTATGATTTCTCATAATTAAAGATCCATCATTAATTGCAATAATAAATAAAAACAATAATTTCCTTTTATTTTAAAAACTTTCTAACGACAAATGTATTGCAAAATAAATAATTTCCTAAAACAATTACAGAACCTAATAACTGTTGTAGACTTTTTAGGAATATAATTACGTAAATATATAACTTAAAGATAACAATTACTCATCAAATCTTTTTTTTTTTGTTAATATTGTATCATAACAAGACCTAAATCAATGGACTTCTTATTCTCTATATATAAGTGAGGTTATTTAGTCATCAAATCAATGTGCATGGTTCCACTCTCACCGTCCCTCAGCTCTGCAAATCATTTGCTTCATTTTCTACATGTCTTGGACTAAGGTTCTTCCTATTCTTCTTTGATTTGAATCACTTACATCTTTTTTTTTTTTTGATAAATCACTCACTTTCATCTTTCTATGGCTTTATGTTTGATAGCCTCACGTTGAATTGAGGAGCTTCCCAGTGTATTCGGAAACTGGTCCTTCTACGTTACCTTAATCTACATGTTTTTGTGTTTGGACAAATGAGGAAATGATTCTGATTTTTATTGTTTTGGTATATTGGTTCATGTTTGAGTGTGAAAATATTTGCAGGATTAACCATAATCCGTTGTAGCTTCTTAATATTGATTTGGAGATGCTCTTAGTATTGATTTGAAAATTTTCTTTGGTTTGTTTACTAAAAAATATTTAGTGGTTTACCATCAAATGAAAAAATCATGTGATAAAATAACCTTTATAGATTAATCTATATTTATCAATTTTTTGAGTAAATCATTTTCTAAATATATTTATTTTAATGTATATTAGTTAAATTATGGTTACTATTCGTTATTTGACAAACTCATTTGGCTATATTACTTATTTTAAACCAAACTCATTTTGGCAATAAATAATGTTTATTTATAAATTAGATTAACCCCCAAAAAATTATTACCAAATATATAAAGATTATTTATGTCTAAAGAATAATATGTTGCTTTAGATTATTATTATTTATAAGGTTTCAAATATTATAAATATTTTAACCTTATAAGAAGTATAAATTAATAATATTTAAAGTATCTATAATATTTAATTCCATAAAAAGTTTATAATATTAATAATATTTGAACACTATAAAAATTATAAATATTTATACTATGGAACCACTTAAAAGCAAACTTTTAAATTGACTCGAATTATATGTTTTCTAAACAAATGTGTTATTAAAAAAAAATGATGTTTAATTTCACGGGACGGGGTTATATGGTGGGACGGGTTTAGATCGATAATAATACCGGAAGATATACCACGGGTTAAAATCCTAGAAATAATAATCAAAATTCAATATATAATCTTAAACACTAAACAAAACAAATAATATTAACAAAATAATTACAACTTAAAATTTAAAACTTTTTAGTTAAAAAGTCGACCCGCGGTGTACCGCGGGTTAAAATCTAGTTCAATATATATTATCCATACGATTACTAATATTCCATATTTGAACAATCATAGTTGTTTCTTATTCTGAACGTTACAATTATAATTTTCCAAATTTATGTGGAAATGTTTATAAAAAAAATTTGACCAAATTTTTAGCAATGATTTAAGGTTTCCTTGACTGCTTGACCGAATTTCGTGTGGCAATCTTCTTATTATGGTATAGTTAAATCTTTTTACATCGTTTTTTTTTTTGGTAAGTGATCTTTTTACATCGTTGAGACATGAATAGAGTTTGTTACAAAACTTAGTCCAATTGATTCAAGGACAAGGTTTCCTCACTCGTATAGAAAACATTGCAAGATAGGTATGTTAATGTTTATTTAGCACAAGGACCTAAAGCCTCTCTGTTTCTTCTATGATTATTTAAATCATAACTATAACAATTAATAAGATTAAAATTGATAATATCATATTAACGCACAAAGACAAAAATCGCATGACATGAGATAGAAGAAAGAAAAAATCCAAGTTGGCATGGCATAAGTTTTGCCACAAAACACACACAATTTTAAATTTTCTCAAAGACAACAAACATCATTTATTCATATTCCTCACACTGCTTTTTTTTTTTTTTTGGTTTAAATCACACTGCTTTTGCTTTTGCTTTAGAAGCAAACACATCACTGAACATTGAACTTTTGCTTTGCGAATGCAACGACCTCTTCGACGGTTGGCATGTACGGCTTAACAGCTTCATGGGCCCTAAACCTCTCGGCCCATTGGATCAACCCAGGTGTTGTCTCTTGCCGAAGAAACTTGACGCCGGAAAACGCCTCGATCACAGAGATCGGACCTAAAAGAGCCGAACATGCAATGTCAAGGTAGCCGATGGTCTCTCCTCCGAAGAACCCTAATCCTTTGCTGCTCTTCTGAAACGTTTCTTCTAGTATCGCCAAACACTCCATCAGCTTTCCCGCCGCCGCCATTTTCCCTTCGTCGTCTTTTGCTCCGACCACCGCATCCACCGCCGCAAAACACTGTTTCATACACAAAACTCTTGAGTTTACTAATCTAGAAACTTATCCGTCGAGTGTTTAAATCGGATCTCAAGCTACACAGATCTATCAAGAACAGAGCTTTTTTTTAGCTCGATTTCAGAAATTTTAAAAAGTTTCAAACTTCAACAGATTAATCAAAATACCCATATCAGTAAATCGGATCTTAATCAATCAGATCTATATACGAGTGTCAAGATCCAAGCTTTTAGTTCAAACTCAAAAACTAAAGTGTCAAACTTTGACAGCAAAACAGAGCATGTAACAGAGATCCATGGAAGTGAGTCTCTAAACTAGTTTACCTTGTCATCGATGTACTGAGCCCAGAACCGAGCAGATGCGCGATCATAGGCATCAGAAGGAAGGATTAAAGGAACGGAGGGCCAAGCCTCGTCGACGTATTGAACGACGTTGAGGGACTCACAGATCGAGAGATCACCATGGAGGAGGACAGGGACTTTCTTGTGGATGGGGTTAGATTTGAGAAGGAGTTCGCTCTTTTCTTTAAGAACATCAGGTTCGTCTAGGTACTCGTACTTGACAGATTTCAAGTGTAAAGCCACTCGTGCTCTAAGGGAATAAGGGCTGGACCAAGAACCTATCAGCTTAACTGTCTCGTTCTGAGCCATGTTTTCTTCTGGTTTTTTATTGATCTGATCTCCAGTTTTAGGTCAATGCGTGTTGTTTATACATTATATAGTAGAGTGGAGTGATGGAGGAAAGTGGAATTAGGAGTCGTGTTTCTCGTTGGCAAGTGGCAGGTGAGTCAAAAGTGGTGTACTAAGATATTATCTACCAAGTCCACAAGTCCTACCAAATAGAGTGATGGCTTTAAATAATGTTTGGATTTTTTCTATTATATTTAGGAGTTGAATATATTGGACCACTGCAGCAAATACTTATTGTGGGTAACCAATGTTTACCAAATCCAAAAATTGTAGTAGCCGCCGCCTTCAGGTTGCAATGTTTTGTTGTTGCATGAGAAATTAGTATTTTGGTTGCATTAGGTGCTTGCTACATCTTTTGCCAACATCCAAATTATTTTCCAACATTACATGCAAACAAAAGGCATTGATTAGGACATTGAATGTGACAAGGCAACAGTGGCTTTTAGCCATCTCTTGGACATTAGCTTTACGCTTAGCATTACACACAATAGCAAGTGTGTCAAAAGACTAACAAGTGTAACGTTTAACTTTGGTCTCTCAAAAACTAGTTAAGATCTTTTGAGGCTAATAGCCAACTGAAACACACAATGTAAAGGGCTTCAAGGGTTTGAGTCGCTGCTGGAACAAACCTGTGACTACTCTTAATCTACAACCAACATGTAATCACTCTTAATATCTGAAGCAGCTTTATCACATTGGTAGTTCATGTTCCGATTTAGTGCCTCACTGAACATTATTTTGGAGAATAATAAGGAAAGTTCTCGCATCGGGTTACTGTTGTGAAAACTGAGTCCACCACAGAAGAGTCTAGCTTAGGGAGTAATGGGAAAATCCAAACTGAAAATTGCTGAATGAGATTCCCCAAACCAGTAATGGAACCATTCTTCATCTTTATCACCCAAATTCATTATAACAAAGCATGAGAAACAATTGCCAAGTGAAACATGAAAATCGCAAAATGACCTAAAAAAACTTATGAAGAGCAAGTGCTGCAACTCTGTTTTGTGCATCCTGTCACACAATATTTAGCATCCTGCATGTTATTGAGGGACAGATGCTTATATCCAAACACCAACAAACAACATCAATAACGTTCATAAGCACAAGTTTCCAAAATTTATTAAGGAAACAATCTACTGATAGCAACACTATAAACCTTTGCTCATCAAGGCCCTAGCCAGACACTTGTATAACATCTTAGCAAAAGAAGTTCCAATGCTAGAATGCTGATGAAATCAGTACCTGAAAGGATACAAAGTCATCATCTTGATAGGGACATTGAAGAGATACCAGACCAATGTGGCTCTCATTGGCGTACGCAGAATACTTCCGGTATAAGAGAATTTACTTCCTTCACTGATTACATGCAGTACCGCTATATCATACATTTTGTAAATACTGCAAAAACTATTGACTTCTCAGTCAACTTCTCAAGAGCCCTTCATTATATTATATATATATATATAGATACATTATATATTGTTTCTATACAGAGATCTAAGACGGTTAGCTCCATAATCTCCCATCTGCTTCTTCATTTTCCTTTCTAACAAAAAATTCCAGAATCCTGCAAAAACCAATGTTATGTCATCTCATGTTGCAGCAGTGGGGCTTCCCAAGTCTCTGCAGCTTATCCCACATGCAAATCATCTGGCGAGGCGACTGATAATGAGCGGTGAAGTAATCTTCTATGCAGCCAAACTGGCAGAACTTGAGGCTGTGAACCACTGCCACTGGTCTAGTCTCGTTGAACTTCTCCACCCACATTCCCATGCTCACATCTTCCATCTTGAATAACTGCAATGACCAAGAAGAACCAAGACCATATCACAAAAAGAAACATGAGCACTCAAAATCTGATATCTGTGTAAAGGATTACTTACTCTTAATCTCTTTTGTTCAAAATCATCGACGATGAATTTAGCTATATCATATGACAAGATGTAACCCGGACCATTTGCATATGGAGGATAATACTCTTCTGGCCATTCCTTCACAATTCAGAAAAATCAACATTAAGTCTAAACACCATATGTTTCTTGCTCAATAGAGGTTTCAGGTCTGCTACAAAATCTATACCTCGTATGTCACCGCCCATTTCCCGGTACGCAATGGCTTATGGTTGAAATTAATGTTTCCAATATAAAGGCTCTCTCTTCCCTTAACTTTTTCTGCTTCCTGGATCACGGCATCCACTCGCACAAATGTATCATCGTCACATTTCATAACATACTTTGCCGCCACTGTGTTAACCTACAATATTCCGGATGAATAAGCAGAAAAGTAATAAAAGGTAAGGAGAACAAAAGAGGGACGAAGAAATTACCCCATATTCGCAGATGGCAACCGTCTTGAGCACAACAAGGTCATAATGATCCATGTACGGTACTATGACAATATCACCAAAGTACTCAGCTTCTTTCTTTAAATCCACATTGACTTCCTTTCTTGCATGCTGCAAGATGAATTAACATAAATAAATGACTATATTTAGGTGATTTTTGTCTTTCAAGAGTTGTCCTTACCAATGCCACAAAGAACCGGGCAACAACTTTTGATGATCTGACTAGCTTTTGCTGCATCCATGACTTCCTCACTGCCATTCTCTCTGCAAAATGGTTACCAGCAGAGAGAATTCCAATGAACAACTCTACAGGCTTCTGAGGCAACGAAGGAGCTTTCCATATGCTTTGCATCTCGAGATGCTTCTGCGGTGCAAAACTAGGATTTGTAGAAGGTAGCGAGGCAGCATAAACAGAATGCACATCAATGTTTCCTTTGACTGCTAATCCAGTGGCATCCTCCAAAACAAACCCCTGAAAAAAATAAAACCATTATACCAATCATTCTAAAACCATTCCATCAACAAATCGTGGAGATTATTGAGCGGTTCGTCAGTCACTCACCGTTCTATAAGGAAAAGATGTGATATGTCTTCCATTAACACTAATGTGATAACCTTCCATCCCAGCTCGAAGCGTAAGAACAAAAAGCTTCCCTTCAGCAAAAGGATAAGCCCAATCATGCGTTATCATCTTCTTCCTCCGACCCATCAACCTATTCAACCACCATGTCTTCTTTGATTCATCAAAACCATCACCATTATTACCACCACCATCATCATCTCTCTTCCACCTCTCACATTTCACCTCTCCATCAACTATCACAAAAACCACAAACCAAATTAAAGTCTTCACCTTTAAGTCAACGCTAGTCCAAACAAAACATATAAATAAGTTAAACAAAGTCAATACCAAATTCTTCTTCATCACTAGATTCACGACCATCACAACGTAAACCTGAGCCCCATTGCATTCGATAACAAGTGTTTTGCTCAATCACTGGTCTTCCACTCCAATCACCTTTAATCCTCGGGTTAAAATGGAGTATCCGAGGCGGATCTTCACCATCCACCGCCTTCAATCCCTGTAACTCCATCATGAACTGACTCACCATCGCCGTCTTATCTCTTCCATCCTTCTCAACGTGGGCCCAATGCGGCGTAGCCACAACGGTAATGTGAGATCCTAACGTTAACCCACATGGCAAAACCAAGATCCGGCTCCGGTTCACAAACTCCGACTCAGAAACCGAAACCATATCCGGACATTTCTCAATTCGGGTCTTAACCGGAGCTTTATCGGGTTTGATTAAACCCGAATCGAGTCCGTCCCACATTTTCCTCCCCATTGAAATCGCATGCTTCGCTGTTTTGTGAAAGATTGAGAATTCATCGCTGAATCCGCCATTGTCGAAAAAGCTCTCATTGACGAAAATCTCAGAGACGGACTTAAATTCTCGCATTTTCCGCTCCGGTGACCGAAGCTGGACCCGACCCGGATCCTTGAAATGTCGATGTGGGTCTGCTTCTTCTCCAACGACCCAATTAGCTTCCCTACTACTACCACCAACAACCATTTGTCTCGGTAATGCGTCAGCGAAAGAAGAAGACGACCCATCATCAGACCCGGACCCAGACCCGGTTCTGAAAATGAATGGGATCTCAAAGCTCATGCAGAGGAAGTAAAAAAGCAGAACAGCTAATAAGAACTGAACCAACCCAAATCGAATCTGTGAAGACGAATTCTCGAGTTTAGACTTCTTCATTGCTCGATAATCAAACCCTAGAAAACAATTTGGAGAGTGAAGAAGAAGAAGAAGACGAAGAAGGGAGGAAACAAAGAGCTTACAAATTTGGGTAAGCCATTAATGCAAAGTTTTACTAAGAAGAATATAGAAATAGTGAAGACAAAAAATTCAAAAAGGTTAAAACTTTATTGGAAACTTGTTGATTCAAAGAGAGTGAGAATGGGAACAAAACAAAAAGCTTTGAACTTTGAACAGAGATAATTCTGTGCTTTTAGGTAACCGGCGTGTACGAAGATGGAAAGCCAGTAACTGTTAAACTACGTCGTTTCATCACTGGGAATTGCGCTTAAATTTTAAAATCACAATTATTTTTTAGAGTTTTGAGTTATAAACTTAACTTACGTCTTTTTATAAGCTTTTGAGATGCGTTGATATTAAATTTTAGTTGACGACTTCTTTAAATTCTTAATTATGAACGGTAATCACACTAAAACTTAAACGGTGATCATTAGGACGTTCACATTGGTGTAATGTAATGTACACAAAACTCCAAATAGTATACAAATAACCGCTAATAACGTTATTAATTATACTTTCGGTTATATTTTTCTTGGCCCAAATTTCAAGAAGAAAAAATTATTATTATCATAATATTTTAATGATTAAAAAAAAGAGAGCCAGGTGGTTTCGAATGGGATACCCACCACACATTCTCAAAACATTATTCTAAAAAAACGGAAACTAGATTTTCTTGATATTAGTATTTTAATTTTCGAAAGTTATATAAGCATGAACCATTATTTTTATTCAGTTTGCAATTAGACAAATGACAACGTTAGTTTATGGTCGTGTCGGTGTGTGAAACGTTAGTTTCGTTGGCCCAATTGCAGTCCATTTATTAGTCGTTGTACATGTCGTTTAGTTTCGCTTTCACTACTCATTTTCCAAATTCAAATTTTAGATCATTCATATACCACAGA